AGTTGGAGAAGGACATGAGAATCGCACATGGCAAGGACAGCCATGACAGATAATGGTGACTTTGTTTTAAACCTTCACTTGTCATTTTTACAATAGTTTTATCTACATGGAACTGTTCATAATACGCTTTACATTGTTATTTTACTCCATTGTGTGATAGAATAAAATCACACTTCATTTTTATTTCAATGGCTCTTTCATTCATAATCGCCTCAAGACACTAGAAGAAGTATTATATGTGTCTAAAAATCCAACAGTCTTATATATTTAAAAAATGGACCGCACTAAGGTCACAAGTAGACAAAATAAACTGTACAATCTTTAAAGTGATAACACTGAGCAAAATACAAATACAATATTAATATTCAGTCCCAACATGTGAATAGTTGGTGCAACGGTGCTGTAACAATGATACTCCATACTGAAATGACAAGTGCTTCACTGTGTTCACACTGGTGCCTCCTGTGGACGTTCTATTGTTCGGAACTAGTCGAGGGCTTATGACACAACTTCCACTGATGTCACTTCTGGGATTTGGAACACATGCTGGAATGCGGCGGCCATCTTAATTCCCATTCATAATATACAAAGCTGAATACACCTACTTCCAGGAAAGGCACTTTTTTTGTGAGTGACATTTCTATTGTTTTACCCCATATTAAAGTTTTATACAGTTTTACACTATGGGATGTCAGTTTTTGATTTATGCTGAAAATATGAAATACTGCCTGTGGAGGAGAGGAGTTGCCTAACATTGATGCAAATCTAGTGGAAAGTTATTGGTTACTACCAGCAACCACGGTTATAAGGGCAAAGGAATATCGGCCATCAGGACTGGATTGCAAACTGGGATAGTCCCAAAAAGAGAGTGTGACTTACCTAGAGACAGGTGGTCATGAAATGACGGTGAGTTTACATCTATGTGGGGCACCAGTGTGAACACAGTGAAGCACTTTCATTTCATTTCAGTATCACCGTTAAAGACACAGCACCATTGCACCAATTATTGATATGTTGGGACTGAATATTAATATTGTATTTGTATTTTGCTCAGTGTTATCACTTTAAAGATTGCACAGTTTATTTTGTCAATTTGTGACCTTAGCGCAGTCCAATTTTGAAATGTATAAGATTTTGTGTTTAGAAATTTACATTTATGACTGCTGCTATATACCGTATATACTCGAGTATAAGCCGAGTTTTTCAGCACATTTTTTGTGCTGAAAAACGGCCCCCTGGCTTATACTCGAGTCAACGTCTGCAGGGGGATGCTGTCTCTTACCTGGCTCCGGTCCCACGACGATCCGGTCCAGGAAGCGCGGCTGCTCCTTCATTCGGTTCGTCCACTGGATGTTCGCGCAGCTGCTCGGCTCCGCCTTCTCACCGGTGATTGGCCGCCAGAACTGTAGCTCAGGAAAGGCACACAGGCGGCCAATCACCGGCGAGGAGGCGGAGCTGAGCGGCCCCGCGAAAATCAAGTGAAGGAGATGCAGGTAAGTGTGCCGTGCTTAGGTGCTGCTGCAACCACATATGCTGGCTGCAGCAGCACCATACTGGAACAGGGGTCAGCAAGTGTCAGTGGGAGGAATAGTGCCCCATCATTGGTGTCACTGATACCAATGATGGGGCATTATTCCTCCCACTGTCACCAATGATGGGGCACTTTTCCTCCCCCCCCACTGACACCAACGATTGGGCACTATTCCCTCCCCCCCCCCAACACCAATGATGGGGCACTATTCCACCCCCCACTGACACCAATCATGGAGCACTATTCCACCCCCCACTGACACCAATCATGGGATACTATTCCTCCCCCCCACTGACACCAACGATGGGGCACTTTTCCTCCCCCCCACTGACACCAACGATGGGGCACTATTCCTCCACCCCCCCACTGACACCAATGATGGGATACTATTCCTCCCACTGACACCGATGTTGGGACACTATTCCTCCCACTGACACCAATGATGGGACACTATTCCTCCCACTGACACCAAAGATGGGGCACTATTCCACTGACACCAATAATTAGGGGCTATTCCCCCCACTGATACTAATGATGGGGCACTATTCCTGCCACTGATACCAATGATGGGGCACTATTCCCCCACTGACACCAATGATGGGGCGCTATTCCTCCCACTGATACCAATGATGGGGCACTATTCCTCCCACTGATACCAATGATGGGGCACTATTCCTCCCACTGATACCAATGATGGGGCACTATTCCTCCCACTGACACCAATGATGGGGCACTATTCCTCCCACTGACACCAATGATGAGGCACGATTCTTCCCACTGGTGTTCCCTGGTGTTCCCACTCGGCTTATACTCGAGTCAATAGTTTTTCCCAGTTTTTTGTGGTAAAATTAGGTACCCTCGGCTTATATTCGGGTCGGCTTATACTCGAGTATATACGGTAGGTATCTTATATATAGTGAAATTCTTTCACATATATGTTAATTAATTTTTATCCTAAGCGCAACAGCACCTCTTTTTTCTTTCAAACAAGTGTTAGGGTCTGGCTAACCATTAAGGGTACGCATGTGGTTCAATATGCTTGGTGACACTTTAAAAATAATTGCAACCTTAAAAGTTCAAGGGTCAAAAAACTAAACTACTCAGTCTAGATTAAAGTGTTTATCAGTTATATTTTGCCATTTAAGCTGCTCCTTATTGTAAAGTAGTATTCCGTTTTTCAGTTAAAACACAGTTCTTCTTAAAATGAAAGCATGTATAAGAATGTCCTGAGCAATTTCATACTACATGACTGCCTTCTCAAGGTTCGAGTTTTTGTCCCTTATGGTTTATTCCATAGATAAAATGTCAACCTAGCTATGTAGCTCACACTGGGCTTGCTCCACATTTTACTCTATTAAAATGATTGTCCTAATCTTCTAGACTTTCTAGTCTGAATATTATAGGACGGTTAAAGGATTTATTATAAATCCAGTGAATGGACCATGAAGTAATATATGATGTGATTCACTGTAACCAAATACCATTCAACAAACTTCAAGGAAACTTTTTATTCCTTCTTAACCATCTTAAGTTGACTCCAACCGTGACAAGCTAATTATGATCATCCACCTTGCCTTTTTTAAACAAATGTTGCTTTTCATTTTTTTTCCATTCATAGTACAGCTGCTACAAGAATAGCTCATTTGCATATAGATTAAAAATTACCTTAAAACCCATTTACACCCTGGTGAGTAAAGACAATACAAAAAAACTGACGTATTGCTTCCATGCAGCCATATTATGAAGTACTGTGCAGCGCTGGAGTTAGTCTTTTCATATTTGTTATATGTATAAAACATATTTGTACATATATTAACCATTAGAGAAGCAAGTCTCCATCTGCTGACTTAAAATAATATGTTAACAAAGGTATGACAACCTCTGTTCTTTGTAGTCTATTGTGCAAATTAATAAAATAAATAAATAAAATAAACACTTAAAGAAAGCAGTTACGGTAGCTCTTTTTTGACATTTAATAAATGAAGGTTTTTTAAGCTGTTAGTGATTGATTGTCAATGTACATAAGGAAATTGGAAGAACCATTTACGCGGTAGCATCTTAAGAACTAGAAAAAAATGTTGTTATGAGTATTTGTGCTTACAGACTCAGATTTTGGATTAAATACGTTATTACCTAATGTAGAGCACATTATTGTAATAGATTAGGTCATTTGAATTAATATTTAATAGGGTGAAAACAAGTCCACTAAAGATCTTATGTCTTTATAACATCTGGGTTGCCAGATTTGGTTTTTCAGCAGCTCAGCAGACCAATATCTCACTTAAAAAGTTAGAGAGATCTGCTTGTTACATGGGGATCAGTGCCAAAAAAACCACACATCTCTGCTAAGCTGTTTCAGAATGTAAGAAAACATTTTAGTCACTAAAAATTCTACTTGTTGTTTACAATTAACTCCTGGACAGCCAAACTGTGCAAGCAATGCAGTGTATGACCATAGATGATGAATGAATCCATTTAGACATAACATGAATCAGCAAACAGCAACCTTTTTTGATTTGCCTAAATATATTAGAAACATAGAAAAATGTGAACAGAAAAAAAAGGCCAAATGGTCATCGAATCTGCCCTTTTTTTTTAATTAATACATGTTTTTTTTTTTTTTGTTATTTTGTCGGTGTATGGATCTATGTTTGTACCAAGCATGTTTGAAGACACTTACATAGTTACATAGTTAGTCTGGTTGAAAAAATACACAAGTCCATCTAGTTCAACCAAATAAAAGGAAAGAAAAAATGTACAATCCTGTTTACACAATCCCACAGTTGATCCAGTTATTTACCCAATCCCACAGTTGATACCGAGGAAGGAAAAAAAAACAGCAAAGCATGACCCAATTTGCTCCAGCAGAGAAAAAAACATTCCTTCTTGATCCCCCAAGAAGTAATCAGATATTCCCTGGATCAACTTTACCTATTAATGTTAGTATCTAGTTATATTATGAGCATATAGGAAAGAATCCAGGCCAGAACTAGCTCTTGAGGGAGTCTATTCTACATTTACACAGCTCTTACTTCTACGAATAGAATATAGACATATAGCTAAAACGTTGTCTGAACCTACCTTAAAGGAGAACTTCATTAACCACTTGCCTACTGGGCACTTATACCCCCTTCCTGCCAGGCCAATTTTCAGCTTGCAATGCTTTCGCACTTTGGATGACAATTCCGTGGTCATGCAACATTGTACCCATATGAAAATTTTATAATTTTTTTCACACAAATAGAATTTCCTTTTGGTGGTATTTATCACCACTGGGTGTTTTATTTTTTGCGCTATAAACAAAAAAAGAGCAAAAAATTTTAAAAAAAAAGTTTTTCTTTGTTTCTATTATATAATTTTGCAAACAGGTAATTTTTATCCTTCACTGATGTGCATTGATTAGGCTGCACTGATGGGCACTGATAGGCAGAACTGATGAGGTGGCACGGATAGGCAGCACTGATGGGCACAGATAGGCAGCATTGATAGACGGCACTGATGAGCTGGTATTGATGATGCTGCACTGATAGGCGGCACTGATGGGCAGCACTAATTGGTGGCACTGCTGGGCACAGGTGGGTGGCACTGCTAGGCACAGGTGGGTGATACTGCTGGGTGGAACTACAGGGGACAGGTGGGTGGCACTGATGGACATAGGTGGGTGGCACTGCAGGGCACAGGTGGGTGGCACTGATGTGTACATGTGGGCTTCACTGATGGGTACAGGTGGGCAGCACTGGTGGGCACAGGTGGGTGGCACAGGTGGGCGGTACTGCTGGGCACTGATATTCAGATCACTGATCATCAGTGCCCTGATGATCAGTGCTGATCCCTTCGCTGACAATTGCCAATTCTTGGCAGTACTTTCCTCACACTTCTCACAGCGTGAGGAAAGTGCAGCCGACAACCGGCAACTGTATTTACCTGGTGATTTGCTGTGTCATTGGTCACAGCTGATCACGTGGTAAAAGGCCGCCGTGATTGGCCGTTTACCGTATCACGTGATCAGCTGTGTCCATGGGGGCGTTCAGGGGGTGTGTTCTGGAATGACATCCATGGACGTCGTCCCAGAACCAGACAACTGCAGTGTAGCCATCCTTCAGCTATAGCGCAGTAGGGAACAGGTTAAAATAGTAAGGGATTACTTAGCATCCAGCAACTGTTGAGACAATGTTCACTTTTGTCAGGAGCATGTCATTACAATACAGGATTTTCAGTGCAGGGGTCAGAAGTTTAAAGAGGAACTATAGGCAAAACTTTGTTTTTCATTTTGGATGGAGCAAGGGAGGATTATAACCCGTTAGATTTTATTTCGCCGTCTGTGTCTCATTGTGGAGATTTTCCTTCACTTCCTTTCTCATAGTCAAACAAAAAGTGGGAGGAAATCCTGTAAATTATGGGAATTTCTTGGGGACCCCCAGGTCATCACAACTAGTGTCCCCATTGGAAGATTTCCCCTCTATTACTTTTCTAGGGACATTGCGGAAGTCAGCTGTGTGAAACATAGTGTCGGCAGAGGGGTATGGAGTGTAGGAAGGAAGGGGAGGGAAGAAAGGAAGGGGAGGGGGAAGGAAGGAAGTAGGAAGGGAGGGGAGGAAGGAAGGCAGGGAGGAAGGAAGGAAGGAAGGAAGGAAGGAAGGAAGGAAGGAAGGAAGGAAAACTACTCGCCTAAAATAGTGTGCAAGGACACATAGAATAACACTATTTAGCTTCTAGGAACAGAAAAAAATGCTGATAACAGCTTCTAGGAGCTAGTGTGTATGGAGCCTTAAAGTGGTAAAGTGGAAGTAAAGGCATTTTTATTTTCATTTTCAAAGGGAAGTTTCTAACCCTGTGGTTTTTTTTTTTTGCAACTGTGTACCATTGGGGAGATTTCCATCCACTTCCTCTCACATAGCCAAACAGGATATGATATGAAATCCCGCCAAAGTCCCCTTGGAAGATTTCCCCTCTAGTCCTGTATTAGTGAAAACAAGGGCTTTTTGTCTGGTAGAAGGTGCCGGATAATCTTTTGTTATAGCTTATTTTAATAGGACTGCAGCCGCGAAGAGAGCTCCTGTAGTGCCAGCTGCTGCACCTACAGAGTGGAAGGCAGAGTGATATCCTCTGCACTTCGCTGCTCCCCGTAGACCGGATGGCATGCTCATTTTTGGCGGCAGTTGCAGCTGTGAGAAAGAGCTGTACTGTGATCTGCTAGCCTGCCCTGCTTACTCACTTTCCTGTGCAGACGTTTCTGTTTTGGTAATTTAATTATTGTAAATCTTGAGGAATGGGGGCTGTCTGTTAATTCTGCTTGGATATGAGGGCTGCCTGGCATCTTATGTAGGATATGAGCTGTCTCTTTGCTGGATATGGGCTGTGTCTTTGCTGGATATGGGTCTGTCTCTTTGCTGGATATGGGTCTGTCTCTTTGCTGGATATGGAGCTGTTTCTTTGCAGGAGATGGGGCTGTCTCTTTGCAGGATATGGGACTGTCTCTTTCAGGATATGGGGCTGTCTCTTGAAGGATATGGGGATGTCTTTTTGCTGGATATGGTATGTCTCTTTGCAGGATATGGGCCTGTCTCTTTACTGGGATATGGGGATGTCTCTTGCTGAATATGGGATGTCTCTTTGCAGGATATGGTGATGTCGCCTTGCTGGATATGGGGCTGTCTCTTGAAGAATATGGGGGTGTCTCTTTGCAGGATATGGGCTGTCTCTTTGCTGGATATGAGGATGTATTTTGCTGTATATATGGGCCTGTCTCTTTGCAGGATATGGTAATGTCTCTTTGCAGGATATGGTAATGTCTCTTTGCTGGATATGGAAATGTCTCTTGCAGGATATGGGCCTGTCTCCTGCAGGATATGGGGCTGTCTTTTTACTGGATATGGGGCTGTTTTTTTTTCTGGATATGGGGCTGTCTATTGAAGAATATGGTAATGTCTCTTTTCTGGATATGGGGATGTCTCTTTTCTGGACATGGAGATGTCTCTTTGCAAGATATGGAGATATCTCTTTGCTGGATATGGAGATGTCTCTTTGCTGGATATGGGCCTGCAAAAATAGTCGGGAAGTGCCTCTGAGCTTATTTTGGCAAAGACTGGATATTTCTAATGTTTTGTACATTTTATTATATTGCTTTTTGTTAACTAATTCCATACAAATTACTTGTATAGCCTCCATGTTCTCTAAAGGTGGCGGTGCAAGGAGGTGTGTAGGGAGGGGGACAAGGGGCGGTTCTAGGGGTGGGTAAGGGGGTGGAGATGGGAATGACCTAGGGGGGTAAGTTCCGGCATCTTCTCTCTGAGAAAAAAAAGCCCTGGTGACAACAAAGAATATGGGATGTTCTATCATGTTCACTATCGGTGATAACCGAGCCAAAAGTAATGGCATACTTGTCAATCACAGTGGAGCATGAAGCTGCACAGATTAGACATTGTATTTCTTATTCTATTCAGTTCTATTCCTGTATTTTCTATTCTTTCATTTTCTATTCTGTTCTTTCATATTATATTCTCCTAGATTGTAAGCTCCAAGGAGCAGGGCCCTCAAATCCCTCTTGTATTGAACTGTATTGTTGCTGTACTGTCTCCCGTTATATTGTAAAGCACTGAGCAAACTGTTGGTGCTATATAAATCCTGTATAATAATTCTGTTTTACTCTATTCTGTTCTTTTCTATTCTGTTCTATTTTATTCTATTCTATTCTATTCTACTCTTTTTGAAATAAAAAAATTGGAATATGGCTATATTCTTTCTATTTTATTCTATTCTGTACTATGCTTTTCTATTCTTTTCCTTTATATTCTATTCTAATCTATTCTATTTTTCTATACTATTCTATTCTTTTATTTTCTATTCTATTTTATTCTTTTCTATGCTATTCTTTTATTTTCTGTTCTATTTTTTTATTTTCTATTCAATTCTTATATTTTCTTTTATATTGTATTCTGTTTTATTCTATTCTTTTAGAAATTCAAATTTCAGAAAAGGGCTATATTCTTTCTATTTTGTTATATTCTATTTTTTCTATTCTATTCTTTATTTTCTATTCTATTATTTTCTATTATATTCCTTTATTTTATATTCTATTCTTTTATTTTCTATTTTTTTTTATCTGATCTATTCTGATTTATTCTATCCTTTTCTATTCTATTTTATTCAAAATTTGAATTTCGGAAGGTGATATATTTTTTCTATTCTATGTTATTCTATTTCTATTCTGTTCTGTTCTTTTATTTTTATTCTATTCTCTTTTATTCTTTTCTTTTTCAATTTCGAATATGGAAAACGGCTATATTTTAACATTAAGCATTGAAAATATATAGTAATGTGAAGAGTGCAGATCATTTTGGATAGTAAATAGACTACCAAGGTATCATGCCAAAGTTCAAAGACAAAAGGTAAATTGTAAATGCGTAGGACTTTCAATATACCTTTTGGTAGTCATCCAATACACAAGTGAATACAATTTATAAAAATATCAATTTTATTCCAATATATTAAAAATATTAGATCCAACAAAACATTAAAACACAACCACCACTATATTTTTTGTATACACTTGTTAATTAGTCTACATGTTTTGCGGCTTCCACCGCTTCCTCAGGACCAACAAGGCAATATAAGTAGTTTAAAGGATTGTGAAGGTTATGCAATCATATAAAATCAAGTTCCTTAATGAGTAAACTGAGGGGAAAGAGAAGCCAAGAGGATTATATATATTTGCTGCTGTGCTCAGCAAATGCACCTGTCGGCCCATGGGAGAGATTCCAATAGCAGGTAAATAGACTGCTCCTATGCTATCAATACAGTGGTGATTGAATAAATCCAATTAGTAATGGATTCGATATGGTTGAGCCCTGACCTTAGATGTTATCCCAGCCTGGGTCTATTAAAAATAATGGTTATAGCTTGAAAGGAGTGCTGGTACTCCTCTCTAATTACGCCCAGATGCCACTAGCTCCAAAAATTGGCTGAAATGTAAAATATTATATGGGTTTCTTATTCACCTGTAGTAAAGCACACATATGTATCACTCAAAGTTTCAAAGAAAGTGTATTATTTTTTCTTTTTGTCAAAGCTTAATTGAACAATCTGAAGTTAGAAGCTGATTGGATACCATACACAGCTGCACCAGATTTTGCACGCTCCAGTTTTAGTAAATCAACCCCACAGCCTTTGAAAGAAATCAGCAACAGCCAGCAATATTTTTACATTTTAAATTAGTTTTTTATCATTCGATTTCATTTTCAAATAAATTTCAAAGTTTATTTCAAATTCTAATAATTAATTTTTAATTAATTTAGAATAATTAATAATAATTTTTTTCAGACGAAAATTTAGTTTTGTTATTTCAGATTCGTTTAAATTCGCTACTATTGTAATTCAGGATTTCGGATACATCTGAAACTCAGAATAACAAAAATGTTGTCCAAATTTAAATTCATAATGAAATGACTTGCACATGTCTAGCAGAGATTACGCTGGATACACATGGGCCGAAAATCGTCTCAAAAAGGAACCAGCTGACTTTCAGCTGTGTGTACAGCTCCCTGTCCGACATCTCTTAGTTAGTATGGCGACCTCTCAGGTTCTTTTTTGTTGAGCCTGCTGGGGTGAATGAAAAAGAGTGTGTGTACCCAGCATTAGGGAGTAGCAATGGGTTCTTTATGTCAGATCACCTAGCTGTGAATTAAGTATTTAGTAGCTAATACATTAGGGGAAATAGTGGGTGGAAAAAAGCTAATTTTGCAGTTTTACCACTATGCGCATATTTGTGTTGATGTCTCTTTCAATCTTAAAAGTTTCTATTTAGATTTTTTTTTTCTTTTGTTTAACCTCCTCCCACCCGCTGTATAGGGAAATGATGGATGGGAGCTCTCTTGTTCTGGGAGGACATCATATGATGTGCTCCCACCCTCCCCTTGGGGGTGCGCGGCGAGGTGATCGGTGATACGTAGGCTGTACCATGTGATCAGTTGTTTCCAATCACAGCTGA